ATACCTGCACAATATCAAAGGGGACCGATCCAATTTCAGGATGCAGATTACTAGAGAAAGGGTCGATAGTATATCCAATGAAGGTGTAGTTTGCATTTGCTTTCAAATTTGCACTGGATGGTAGGCCTCGACGCGTCACTGGAATAACCCGAAAACGATATGTCTCCTCTGATGCTACATCTGCAAGAACAAAGGATTAAAAAAAATGTCAAACAGTAAATATTTGAAAGCGGTTCGATGACGATCCGATACGGGAGGTCATCGAAGTACGTGGACAAAAGAGACCGTTGAAAGTATTTTCTAAGAAATTTGGGATGTTCTGATATACGCCGGGACTTTTTTGATGGTGAGACCTGAGGAATATGAATCTGACTTCGGACAGCCGGACTCGAAAAAGTATGGAATGGGAACTCTTATGACTTTTCGATCGTGTACCGACCTCGAATTTTTTTACTGCTAGAGTAAAAAATTAATTCTTATTCCTATTTACGTACCACTACTAAGTCTGAAATGAACTATCTGAAAAAGTTTTTGAACAGGGCAAAGAAAAACCGGTTACTATACTTCGATGCATTTGGCACTTATCCCAGCAATACAGTTAAACAGTGAATTCAAATTCACTAGCTACCAACGACAAAGAAATGAATAAATTTTTCGTAAAATCTACGAAAAAAATGAAACCTTTTAAAATGTATGAAGTTAGACTGGCCTTGACATCGCTCGTTTTCACATCACTGAACTGCGATTTCGCGTCCTTGTAGTATTCAACAAGATATCTAAAATAAACGTTTAACTGAAAAACAACAGTACCGTATCGGGCAATTTTTCGATATTTTCAACTCTCTCACTGAAAGAGACATCAAATTTGCAAAGAAGCAAGCGAACAAGTTCTCAAATGCATCAATTACTAAAGCTAAGCTCGGCTCGGCCGGGCTGAGAGACAGATTGCAGAGGCCGAAGGGTGATGGTAAAGAGACGTAAGCAGAGGGAGAGGAGTGAGTGAGGAATGGGGGGTGGTGGTTTAGGTCGCGAGAATCGAATGGGAAAAGGGGCGGAGCGGAGTACTGACTGGAGATAAGACTGGAGTTTTGGCTGTAGACAAAAAATGAATATGGACCAGGTTGAAAGGGAGAGGGGTAATTATATGAGCTTTTTGATGCTCAGTACAAAATTTGACGTTGAAAGGAAG